TCTTTCCATATGTCATCCTGCTCATCTTGCTGGTACGAGGTGCCACCCTGGAAGGTGCCCTGGATGGCATTGAATACTACATTGGGAGACAGTCCAACATCACCAAGCTGATGGAGGCAGAGGTGAGAGATAGCATCAACCCTGGAAGTGTGACATGCTTCTGTGATTCTATGGGCTTGCTGCTTACAGAGAAACTTCTGTTTTATCCAGTTAGGTGCTTCTTCACGTCCTGCCCTGTGTTTTGAATCCACAGTTGGGTTGTGTAAGAAGTCTAAGCCCCTATTCTAGCTACTCTCTGCCTGAAAAATAGTCACCCTCTGCCCCCTCCCTGCCACACCAGACAGTGATGACAACTGTGCTATTGCCTATGATCAACTCTTGGGGGTCATGCTGGAGTTTAATCTCAGCATGGCCTGCTAGAAAGTTCTTGCTGATAATTGCAAGAGACATTATCAGAAGACTGAAGGAGTCCCTGAGTTTTAAATTCAGGTTGTGCCTTTCCCAGGAAATTAGCTTGGGTAATTAGGTGGATCAGGAAGGGCACCTTGTGCAAAGAAAGCCTGGACTTTCTTTGTTCTGGCTTATGCCAATATTATTTCAGCTTTATCAAAAGCAAGTATTAAGTGTGATGTTTACTTGTGGTATTTATGTGAGCCCTTGGCAATAAATGAGGGGCTGCAGCAGAGGCAGAAGTGGTTTGTCTGGGTCACAGTGTGCGGAACACAAATGGAAGTGTACACGGAATTTCTTACTCCTGCAGGCTGGTCCTGGTTATTTGTTGACACTGTGACTAGAGTCATATCTCAACAGTTCTGGGACCCTCAGTTCAGGAAGGATATTGAGGGGCTTGAGCAGGTCCAGAGAAGAGCAGCAAGGCTGGTGAAGGGACTCGAGCACGAGTGCCATGAGGAGAGGCTGAGGGAGCTGGGGGTGTTCAGCCTGGAGAAGAGGAGGCTCAGGGGAGACCTTATCACCCTCTGCAACTCCCTGACAGGAGGTTGGAGTCAGGTGGGGGTTGATCTCTTCTCCCAAGCAACCAGCAGGAGGACAAGAGGGCACAGACTCAAGCTCTGCCAGGGGAGGGTTAGGTTGGATATGAGGAAGAGATTTTTTGCTGAAAGAGTAATCAGGCATTGGAATGTGCTGCCCAGGGAGGTGGTGGATTCACCATCCCTGGAGGTTTTCAAGATGAGACTGGATGTGTAACTTAGTGCCATGGTCTAGTAACCACAGTAGGGCTGGACTCGATGGTCTTTGAGGTCTCTTCCAACCAGGTTGATTCTATGTTTCTACAATTCAACAACACACATGTGAACAAATTGAATTTCTTCTTCAGGGTTAGCCCAATAAGATTTAAGTATTTGGTAATGCACTTGGGATGTGACCTTTGGAGGTCATAGAAGACATTGTTTTTTGCTTGAGTCTGGAAGGTCACCAGTGTGCTATATCCCAACTACCCTAAAACTCATATGGAATACAATTAGATATTCAGCCTAAATGAAAAATACCCCAACCCTTGAGTTTCAACAGAGGGCAGGCATAAATGTTTATGATAAGTACTGTAAGTAATCCTCATGTTCTTATTTTTGGTAGGTTTGGAAAGATGCAGCCACCCAGATATTTTACTCCCTGTCTGTGGCATGGGGTGGGCTTGTTGCTTTGTCTTCATACAATAAGTTCCACAACAACTGCTACTCGGATGCTATTTTAGTTTGTGTAACCAACTGTGTCACCAGTGTATTTGCTGGGTTTGCGATATTCTCCATCCTGGGACATATGGCATTCGTGTCTGACAGACCTGTCTCAGAGGTTGTGGACTCAGGTAGGCTGATTGTCACACTGTTGGTATTGGGACCTGCATTGACCAAGGCATGACAATAACCTCCTTCCTTCCGCTAATTTGCAGGGTTTGATCTGGCATTTGTAGCCTACCCAGAGGCTCTGTCCAAGTTACCAGTTTCTCCTCTGTGGTCCTTCTTGTTTTTCTTCATGCTCCTGCTCTTGGGCCTTGACTCCCAGTTTGCCAGTATAGGTGAGTGGGGTTTTAAGAGACCCATGGCTTTTCAAATGACCATTGCCTTTCTTAATTGTGCTTCTCAAACCCCACACTTCTTTTGCAGAAACACTTACAACCACCATACAAGATATATATCCCAAAGTGATGAAAAAATTAAGAATCCCTGTAACTCTGGGTGTGTGCGTACTGCTCTTTCTTCTTGGGCTTATCTGTGTTACTCAGGTATGACATTCAATTCCATTTTAGTGGTGGGTTTAGTTATGCTGCAAGTGGTGAACTCAGGTCAAAATACCCTTTCTGACTGCTCCTGTCTGCATGGATCAGTCTTAGAGTCTCGGATTCTGCCAGTGTGTCTGGACATACAAATAAAGTCCCAAGGGAAGCTTGAAGAACCTAAGATTTTCTGTGATTATTGAACTGAGACATGCTTTTAAATAGAAAGTCTGTACAGAGCCTGATTTATGGTTTCTCAGTTCAGGAGTTTATTTATGTAATCACAAGTATAAGCATACAGTGTGTCCACAGTGCTGTGGGTACTGCTAACAAATGCTGATGAGATCGTTTTGTTCTGAACTGACTACCAAACAGGACAAGAATTGAGAAATGGCCTATTCATGCCATAAAAGCCCATTAGCTGACAATCATCTGTAGATTGTGTGGTTACTTCTCCTGCGTGTGTGTGTGTGTGTGTGTGTGTATATATGACTACACAGACAGAAAAGGAATCTTAAGTAAACTGTGTAAAATTTCTTGAGGCAACTGCTTTTAAGGATATAAAGGCGGATTGCAATTACTCCATCTAGAAATGCAGATTTATGTGTGTAATTAGACCGAGAATGTGAAGAAGATAATTGTGGTGAATAGTCAGTTGTATGGTCAAGCAAAGTACATAGGTTACAAAACATGATGGCAGAGAAGCTTGCAAGGCACTTAATACACAAGAGTGTGAAATGGCTGAGAGCTTGTTTCCTTCTCTGTATTGCTGCTATTGCATGCTGATGTTTAAAGCTGTGCTTAACCCACATGGAGAACTTGTGCATGTAGGAGTATACAAGGCTCCTAGAACTGATAACTGGTGTCTGTTGCTGTAGCTCAGGATTAAAACTTCAGTAGCAGCTTTATTACTGTAAGCTCCAAATTCAGATCTTGCTCTCAGCTGTTTATGTATACTCTGCACACACATATATCTTGGTTTTAGTGTACAGATCTATAGTATTTTGTCAGATATGCTTTTTAACTTTACATAGAGATATTTAAAGGAAATAATATTCACAAATGTGTACTTAACTTAGCGAATGGGGAATTTTAAAAACCGAGTGTTGATTAGTTAAGTTGCATTTGTTCAAGCCAGTTTATTTTATTTGAATAAATAGGTTAGTCCTCAAATTTTAATCTCTAATGTTTGTTCTACAGGCAGGAATTTACTGGGTTAATCTAATAGATCATTTTTGTGCTGGATGGGGAATCCTTATTGCAGCTGTCTTGGAGATAATAGGCATCGTCTACATTTACGGTAAATTATTTGCATTGAAAATCCATGGTTTGGCTGAGCAATCCCAGGCACAGTGTATATCATAGAATCACTGCATGGTTCTGTTGGAAGGGACCTTAAAGATCATCTAGTTCAAACCCCCCTGTTCCCCTCCATGATTAGGGACATGTTCCAGTAGACTAGGTTGCTTAAAGCCCTATCCAACCTGTCCTTGGAACGCTGGCAGGAATGGGATATAAAATATTAATTACTGCAATAAAGAATTTATAACTTAACTGTCTGAAAAGCTTTAACAGTCACCGCAGAACTGGAGAAACTGTCCTTGATCATTGCCTTTCTCTGATACCTTTTGAGTTATCACACGTGCACGGGAAGCACCTGCTTTACAATGTGCCCTACAATTGCCTTTCAACAGGAGGAAACAGGTTTATTGAAGACATTGAAATGATGATTGGAAAGAAGAGCCGTTTATTCTGGCTGTGGTGGAGAATATGCTGGTTTTTCATCACTCCTGTGCTGTTAATGGTGAGTGTAGATGACTGGTTTGTGTTAGTGTGGCAGAATTTAGTAATTTGATATTGAAGAGGTTTCCATGGGAAGACTCAGGGCTGACTGCACAGGCCCTGGGTATAAAGCTGGGGAATGGCTGTGCCAGTGAAACAAACTATGCGCTCTCTGCTTTCTGATACATTCCCCTCCTCCTTGGGTCCTCTCCAGGAGTGACTGGAGCTTTAGATCACTTGCCAGTGAGCTGGGTCTACACTCCTGAGGGCTGACACAGGAACCAGATCATTCCATTCATCTTGGCAGCTGGATTATCTTAGTTTTAGACGAGAAAATGTCTTGAAAACCTGGATTTTTCTCCTTTGAGGGAAATCCCATTTTTGAAGTAGCTCCCTGGCTTGGCTCTTTGGATGTCTAGATGTTTCTCTGCCTAACTGAGGCCTTCTATGTCCTGTTGCATGTCTCAGTGTTTTGTTACTCCTGTACTTCTAATTCTGAGTGTAAGTGGTTGGATTATGTAACAATGAGAGAATTGATTATTCTCCCAAATCCAGGAGCAGTGGCAAGTCACTCAGGCCAGCACATTACCTTCAAACTTTCCAGACTACAGTCTAGAAAATGCTGCTTAAAACTATCTCATTTCTGCAGCAATTCTTTTCTGTATTCCCATAAATAATGGAACATGGGAAGATATAAAACATATACAGAAAGGTACTAGACTCATCCAGCAACATATGTATTATTCAGCATATGATTTCAAGAGAACCCAGAGGTCAAGTTCTGTTGAAAATATATGTACTTAGTGTTATGATGCTTATCAGTGTCTTCTTTTGGCCCTGTCCTTCAGTCTTGCTGTTTGTCCATGACTGAACACCAAATCCTGCACAACTATCCTCACAGTCAGAAAGAGAGATGGAACTGTGAAGAACTTGTAGACAGCCCTTTATTAAAACAGCTTGGAAACAGAGTACAAGTTTGTTTGCTGGAAATCTGCTTTTTCCTCTTATTCTTTTTACCATTTTTTATAGGCTATTTTGGTCTGGTCTTTGGTCACGTTTTCACCTCCTACTTACGGATCCACATATACATATCCAACCTGGGGAACCGCTGTTGGCTGGTGCATGATCATCTTTTGTGTCATCTGGATTCCCATCGTAGCTATTGTAAAAGTAGTTAAAGCTGAAGGAAACCTTTGGCAGGTAAGGGCACAAAAAAGCTGTCATAGCCTCCAATCTTAATTTCTTTGGCATTTTCAGGACAACCTGTGCTTTCTTCTCCAACACATTTACTACTTTGTCATGTTTGTTAATTGGATTTTTAGACCAAAACACATCTCTGGTAGTTGCCTCAGAGGCAAATTTACCCTACAGAGTTCTGATAAGAAGATGAAGTCTAATTCTCTGAGAGTGTGCACATACACGTTCAAGAGAGACTTTCATGGGTTCTGTTGTTATTCCAGGTGCTTTAAATTCTCCGAAGAATTTCTATCACTTTTGATCCCTGTATCATTTTCTGGAATGCCTTCCATTCCTCACAGAAACAAGCAAGTGTCAGATCTGAGATGCTTTTCTTGCCAAGCTTTGCCATACAGTCCTGTTGCTCAGAGCTTTTCCTGCTTCTTTGACTTCAGTGTCCAGAATCTACTGATCCCAAAGATATTTGGAATGATTTTAAAAATCCTTGGTAGTTTGTTTGCCATTTGTTGAGTTACAGCTTTACTAAACTAAACCTGGACTAAAGAAAGACATTAAATGCTTCTTGTTTTTGCTTTCCAGCGTATTGTGAGCTGCTGCAGGCCTGCAGCAAACTGGGGTCCCTACCTGGAATGTCACCGAGGAGAACGATACAGCCATATTATAGACCCCAAAAAGGAAAAGGAACACGAGATTCCTACTGTGTCTGCCTTCGTATACACACAACAATGAGATGGCTGCTTGGATGGCAAACTTTTAACATTATGTGGATTTTGTCTTTAAATATTACAAAGGGACTATGCAAAAAAAAGAAAAAGCCAAAACAAAGAAAAAGCAAATTGACCCCCTGCCCTTCAAAGCCCAAACCCCAAATGCAAGCAAGCCATATTATTTATTTCTAGTGCTGTAGTGTTTGGGGAGGAACAGGTAAATTAGGCACTGAGATCTCTCCAGATATCTAGGTTGAGAGGGCAGGATAATGCATTGCAGGCTCCCCAGGCTGTTGGACTGGGCATGCTTAACCCCATCCAAGTGGTATCCAGCTGGACTGCAGATACCGATGTGGAAGAGCATACAGACACATTCTGGTACCTTCCAGCTGCAGGCGATTGAGCCCAAAGGTGCTGTGCATGTGTGTCTGGAAGTGCAGTTACTGCCTTCTGCTGTGCTCTGCCATCCCCCATGGTGTGTGGTCAGCAGAGGTGAATGGATATGCTGCTGCCCAGCACTGTAGCTCAGGGAACATGAATAATTTTTCACTAAGCTTTGCTGTGAGTCTGCTCAGGATTTGATATTGGGTACTCTGTGTATATGTTGTTTAAACAAATACAAATATTTGGCAAAAAATTGCCATCACAGGAAATAAGGCTTTAACATGGTGAAAAGCAGCCTCCTTTCTATTTCTCATTATTGCCCTTGGGATTCCTAAAGAGCCATCTTTGGTGTCATGCCCCGTGCTCAGCATTCATCTGTTTGTAATTCAAAAATTCTGTCACTAGTCTCTGCAGAATGAAAGAGTAACCATTGAATTCTGGTGCATCTGCTCTCCCTACTCTCACCAAGGCTTTACCTATCAGTTTTTTCTCTGCATTTTTCACTCAGATTTGGATTTTCCCTTCCAAAGAAGACCCAAAGTACTTTTTTAAAGATTCAAACAGTGTTATCAGCATTGTGGTAAGGCCAAAAGAAGCAGAACTTTACTTGAAGTGAAGGTTAAAACTGCCCTGTAGTGCTGTTACTCCAAAATTTGCTGAAAGCATGAGGCTGATGAAAAGTTATGAAGTTTGTAATGCAGTTGGGAACACAGACTTGGGCACCTACCTAGGCAGGAGGGAGTTGGGTTAAGAGAACCTGACTTTACTGTTAATACAAATGAATTCCTGATAAAGGAAGAAAGATCTATGTATAAAAATAATACATTTGCTGTGCTGAGGAATGCCTCTCTTACTGTGATAATGGTTCCTTGGGAACAATGCAGCAGGGTGTCTAGCTGTCACTTCATCTCAGGGCTTTGTCACTTTTTCTGGACATGAAGGAGTGTGGATAGTGGCTTGTTGCCCAGGCTGCATACCTTGGTGTATGTTTTATACTGATGGGGGTTTTTTTGTGACAAATCAACATGTTATGGCAAATGTGATTTTCTGTTTTTAATGGTTTTGGAGCCGTCAAATAAAATGTGATTTTTCTGTTTTTAATGCAGTTGTACCTAGAAAATGTCAACATTTTGTATGGACTTGGGGGACCAGCTGGGGTCAAGGGAAATACCACCAACAGAACCATGATCCTAAGCCTTTGAGAGACTGAACTGGAAATATTCAATCTCCAGGAAGTCTTTTCTTATAGAAGTGCAGTAGTCCTGTTTTGGAGTGGGCTCAGAAAATACAGAAAGTAGTCGAGTGGGAATTTATAAAGAGGACTGTGGAATTAGAGCCTGTAGTAGTATCTGATAAGGAGGATCCTTTTCCTGCACTCCAACTGATCGAGGGTCGCAGTTTAGTCACAAAACAGCAGCAAACAGTGCTGTCACTGGACTGGAGAAGCTGGGAGCAGGAGGGAGGCTGAGCTGCTATGCTGTGGTGCTCATCCCCCAGTGTACTGGAGCGACTCACCATCCACAGTGAGCAGTAGTTCATGCCTGAGAAGGGACAGACTTGGAAAGGAGAGGAATGTTAGTCAAGTAATGAGTGAAATCACTGAGGTGGTGGGGAAGCAGGCTGGACAAACCAGCCTCAGAAACAATCCAGGAAAATTTTTGCTAAATGGATGCTGAAGGCTAATACTAGCCATATCTACTGCTCTGCAAGAAGCCACCTCTGCTGCATACAGGGCTCCTTTGAGGCTGCTTCTGCTCTGGATTTGTTTTATGGGCTTTTAGGAGCTGTTTTCAAGATGGTGCCCTACCATAGCCTCCCAGAAACAAGACAGAAGGCAATTTCTTAAGGACTGGGGCTCCAGTTTTGGTACTTCCTCCTTTCTCCAAGGTAAGATAATGCGTCAATTCCAAAGGCAAGGTTCAGTCTCCCGGCAGAGCTGGGATCCCCCTGTGGGTGCATATCTAACATCTTCCTGGTATATCAAATTTCTGTTGTTTTCTTTGTGTGAGCTGATTTACTCCTTATGTTGCTGACTGATGGCATCTACTGAAGAGCCTTAAAGAGTATTTAGGAGCTTACATTCATGTTCCTCACCCATCGTGTCTCTGGCCCAGCAGCTAGAGTTCCTCAATAGCCCCTGATGGTTACATGAACAAGTGGTGTCCCTTGGTGCTTCTGTGGAGACAGGTTGGACCCAGCAGAGCTGGGTATTCCTCACCCGTACAGACTGATGGTACCCAACGTGCTGGTATTTATCAGATTGAAATAGCAGCAGTGCCAACCAGTGCAGCACTCTTGGTTCTGTGTTGAGCCTGTGGTCAAAATGCCTTGGCTTTGGGGATTTTTACTTTGAAGGGGAAAAAGTAAACGGCTCCACTTTGCATCCAGCAAAACTTGAAAAGAGAAGTGCAAAAGTAGTACATGCACTTTGGATTAACTTGAAATGCAAGTGTGTTTTCAGTCAGGAAAGAGAACACAGCTTTGTGCAGTTCTAAAAAGCCACATCTATGACATGGGAATATTTAAAAAGAGCTATTTCAACTGGCAATTTGTCTATCATGTAAAAGGGTTAGTTAGGAGCAAATTGAAAATGCCAAAGTTATTTCTATTGAAGAGAATATTAGCAAGCATGAAGTGAAATAAAGAAAAAAATAAATCTAATAATTTATTAATTTAATAATTTAATTTCTCGCCCA